AATCATGGCAATAATGGAGTATTTTTCATTATAAACTATGTTGTACAGCTTTTACAATCAAGTTTTTAATAGATCTAGAGAAATTAAATTGGAATTCTACCAACTTTTGTGCTTTTGACATCCCATGAAAACGATGTTAAAAAATGTCAAGGCTAATGCGCTAATCCCGTTTCTACTGAAGTACGGAGGAGATGGTATTAGTCCTGTTGTTTTTTAGGCCCTGATGTTCATTAGGTAGTAAAATTTGTATAGAAAAACATTCAGAAATATGCACTTTACTGTAATCCCTAATGCTAAATAGCAATTGAGTATAGATTAAATAGGTCCTGGCTGATGTTATCCTGAAGTCCTTGTCAAGAGAAATTCCCATGGAAATAGTAGAACCGTTCAAAGTCAGGAGGGTGAAATTGTGCTTTATATGAAAGAGGAAGCAATCATATATTGCTGATGTGTATATTAATACCGCTGAGAATGTATGCAGATATATATCTCTTAATATATTCAAACATCGTTTATTGATTGTATATGGCAAATAAACTCATACAATGAGTGTATAGATTACTTTGTATGCATAAACATACATATACTCAATCTCAGCATTATACATAAATATGCACCATGAATAATATAAGTCACCAGATTGGAAGATTTTAAACTTTTCCTTATATTTAAATGTACGAACTAATAATGTTATATTAATTTTTAGTATTGTCCTTTAATTGTATCCTTCTGTTTAATTTTGTGGGTATTTTTTATGAGGAGGTCTGCAATAGTGAAAAAGTGTATTTCTCAAATATATGAATTACTGCCAGTCTCAATACTTATTTGTCCACATTCTTCCTTGCTTTTAGTCCGTTCCACTACCAGCAGACTGCAGGAATCAGTTAATAATCCCTTACATCTTAATTAATAATATGAAATAAAAATTGAATATACAAAATAGAAACATCAGCCAAGCACATATAAATGCATGTTGCTGCCCTCAATAAGGTAATTTTTTAGTTACTTCCTATAATGTTTATTTATTCACAAATACAAGGAGAAATATGAATGCAGTTTAAATTTTAATTGGCATAACAGGCAATATTCTTTTTTTAGACATTTTGCAGGCAAAAATATTCTCATGTATAAAACAAATGCCTTATATAGTTTTACTTGCTAAGAATGGCAAAAGTATGTGTAAAATATACATCAAACACAAACTTCATGTGAATGAGCACAACTACACTACTTTTAGGTTTGTGTTCTAACTCTTAACTTCAAAAAGTTAACCTTACAGAGCTTTTTCAGAAGGTGGAAAAAACCCCACAAAAGTCCTTCCCTCAACCCACATATTAAAAATAATAATAGTTAAAAAAAAAGCTGCTTGCAAAAAAGTTTAGATTGCTGGCCTTGATTGCAAATTCAGACATTGAAAATTTGGAGCCTTCCTTCATCCAAATAATATATATTCATTCCCCACAGGCAGCAGTGATGGTTCTTGGGATAAAGAAAAACTTCAGTCTCCCCCCGCCCAAGGATCACAGGCCTCTGTTAACCACCCCAACTTGTCTGGACAGCATAATGTTCCAGTTAGCCATCCTCTCAACCCTCTTCAACAGAACCACCTTCTGCCAAATGGTACGGGTTGACATCTTTCAGCACTGACATCAGCAGTTTTCCAATTCCTGTCTTTATTTTGTGTTTATATAAATAGGCTATGAAAAATCAAAGATGTGGGGAATATTGGAGTACCTCCTTTAAAGTATTAAGCAGGGGAAGCGGAGACAATAAAGAACAAATACGTATGCAATAAAATTGATACTTAAAATAACTGCTGACCTGTGCATCAGTGACATAATAATGCATTGCTAAGGCACCTTACAGCAGATATTAAAAAAGATAATAAACAGTCATTGCTTCGCAATGATATCATACATTACACTGATACGAACAAACAAAGAGGCCTAATAGCCTCTTCTTGTGGCTAGAAATCCTCCATGGTTGCTAGTGATTTACCCATGCATATCCCAGAAGAGAACTGACACACAGCTGCTTTGTCCTGCAACATGAACCATCTTGTCACCCATCACTTGAATATTGTCCATCAGGAGAAAAAAAAGACAATATTTTAAAAAGATGCATAAACCTATTTCCTTTTCTTTTTCTTTTCCCCACCAGGATTGGAACTTCCTTTTATGATGATGCCCCACCCATTAATTCCCGTGAGCCTACCTCCAGCATCTGTCACAATGGCAATGAGCCAGATGAACCACCTTAGTACCATCGCCAACATGGCGGCGGCAGCACAAGTGCAGAGTCCTCCATCCAGAGTTGAGACATCTGTTATTAAGGTAACCATAAAAAAAGAGTTCTAGCACACCCACAATTGTCATAAATATTGTAAAGGTTTGTAGGTGTCAGATGTTACAAGGTAAGTCATAAAATCAATATATATGAGAAACCCAACTGTGGTAGCTCTGGGAACGCAGTAGGCTGCTGGTGGCCAGTGTTATCTTCTTAGTTCTTCTCCCTCTCTCTGAATCAGTATTAAAACAGTGCTTAGATTGAACCATTTTCATACAGAATACATAACTTTCTGATTTCTCATATTTCATTGTCTGTGGTCTAATGGCAACATTCCTTAAGATATCAAGGAAGAAATTACTCCTTTCTTAAATTAGAATACTGTTCTTCCAACTTTTAAACCTAAGCATTTGAACTGAAATGCTGCAAATTATTGGAAGAAAGCTGAAAGGCTTGATACTTTACCACTGCAGAACCTAAATTGCCCAATCCCAGAACAGAATGAAATAAGGTTGCACAGAACAAACCCAGTAATCTGCAGGCCAGAACTGTAGTATTGTAGAGATCCCTGAAAAATACCTGATATCTGAAATTGCTTACCCATTTTAGGTTTTGTTTGCTGCTTGTAAATTAATCTGGTTACAGCAGTTTTTAGCAGAGGCATGGAGTCTTCTCTCCTTCTGACTGAACATGACCCATTTTCATTTTAAAGGCATTTCTCCCTTACCAATAGATATTTATAATTTAATTTGACATTTATTCAGATAGGTACATTTTACCTGTTATCCTTCTTTAGTTCTAATAAATGAAGACACAGAAAGTAAACAAACTTTTGTGCTTTTATGTAACATTCATATGTTAGAAATAGACATGTGAAGGCAAGGTTATTTGGTATTTTAGGGTTGTGTTGGAAATCTGTCCATTAATGCAATTCCTTTGACAAAAAATAGGTAGACTTAAAATCTCTTGGACCTCTCAATTCAAGAGTTGCAAAAGTTTTGAAGTTTATCATGACTTAAGCAGAGTGAAGAGGTCTGACTTTATAGAGACATTCAGCGTGCTTATGCTCCTGTCCTCTTCAACCTAACAAGCCCATAAAAATAAGGAACCATTCAGTTAAATGTCAACAGATCTATGTTACTATTGAACTAGAAAAATATGGTCTGGTGGCCTAATTTAGTTACATGCTCTTTCAGCTGTAGGATCTCCTTTGGAAGCCTTCAGTGGCATCCCTTTCTCACCTTTTATGACATGGGAAGTTAAGACATTGGTTTGAGAAGAATTGTTTCTTTAGGTGCTATGCCAGCAAGGCTAGATTCCACGCCTAATGTCCATCCTGCTCGTACCTTGGGAATATAAACCCTCTGCTGCTAACTGTTGGATTACATGGTGATTTCTGCACCTTTGTTTTTCTATTTTCACTTGAGCAGTATGTAGTAAGAGCTACATGATACTGAAGTTCTCTGGAACATACGTGGTGCTCTATTTCATTCTAAATTTATGTTCTTAATTGGAATAGTGAACACTGGTATTACAGAGGTATCTAAAAAATGAGGATTGGGATGGAGCACATGCTAAATGACACCTGACAAGTATGAATTACTTTGGCAACAGAACTTTGTTTTACTGTTTTTCCTACTATTTTCCCTTTCTTCATCTTCTGTGAGTTGTTTGATTTCATATGAAAGAGTACGGAATTTGACCTTCATGAGCATTGGTAACCTTCTGTTTCTAAACTTTGATGAGCTGACTTCTAGCTTGTAAAGTTGATTTACAAGCTAGTTCTAGCTATTAAAGTTGCCTAAGTTACTGTGGCCTATATTTAAATATGTCTCTGTAAATGGGACCATACCCCAATGTGACCCCTAATCTTTTTCTCCAGTTACCAAAATCAGGTACAGTTGGAGTACAACATAGCTCCTGGGCTATGTAAAAATGGTTTCCTTTTGTGGAAAGCAAGTCCTGGTGTGTTCAGAGATCTTACCCATTATGAGAACTTTGCTGGACCCAGGAAGCACTTAACTGAGAAGTACTTCTGGCTCATCTGATCTAAACCTGTCTAGTAGGTTTAAAAGTATTGCACTCTGAAAGGGACACTCTGTCATCAGGTAACCATGTGTATTATTTTAATGATAGGTAGTGGCATACCAGAAAATTTTCCTTACCCCAGAGTTCCTTAACTTTTTTACAAGTTCATTCTTGTAGCTTATCTAGTTGGAAAGATGTTTTCATTATAATATAGGTGAAGATTTTGAAAGTACCTAGCAACTTTGGTTCTCTGTTTGAAACATTTTAACATCACTTTGTCGCTGGAAAATAATTTTTTTTTTTCAAAATCTTACTTATTTATGCATTTGTATTAATAATCTACACTATTTCTCTTTGTCATTTCTGAAAATTCAACTATCCTGTATTCATGCTAACAAAATCTGCATCATAGCTGACAACTTTTGTGCAGCTCCTGGCATAAAATCTTGTGCAAGTTATTTAACAAACTAGGTTTTGTGTTCCCATCTGGTTTGCACATAACCATAAATTAAAAAGATGTGGATTTACAATGAAGTGTTTTTAAATGGCCAATTTAACCTAAGTTCTATTTAGAAAAGTGTGCTTACTCAAGGGTGAAATACACATTTTTTAAAGTTTGCACGATTTAGTTAAAGTTTTGGGACATTTACACAGAACTCGATTGAGACACTACCTAAGTGGTGGTGTGACATCTTCAGTCAAGACCTGTGATATAGTGCCCACAACACACTTGTACTACAGGTAAATACCTAAGCACAAGCATTAATCTGCCATCCAAAACTCACTTCTAAATTTAAGAGCTTGCTGCACATAGTTATTTCAATAATACTGTAAGGCTAAGGAACTTACTCTTGCAGGACTTTCCTGCTCTTTCCTTCAGTCCCTTTGTGGTACAACGTACATCTAGATTTATGTCCTATGTTTTTGTCTATGGCAAATGAATACAGTCATGTGGATAGAGATAGCGTGGCCAAGTAATTATGTTCCTGTTTTTTAATACTGAACAGGTTTGAAACATAAACCCCAGCAACATAAAAGCATGAGGTCATTGTTAGGGGGATTTTCTTCCCATGAGCATGGACATAATGTCACTGGCAATTTACCTGTTCCTCACTATGCGTAGACAGAGGCTGTGATTTTAGTGTCCATTAAATTATATACACTGAGTAGTTGAACAGGAAACTCTCTAATCAGCATACTTTTTGAACCTTGCACTGGCAATGTAAAGCTTATGAATAATAACTCATACTAAAATCAAAATAAATATCTTGGAGAATAGATGTAAGTGAGAAGGTCAAACCTCCTTTTTCTTTATTTTTACAGGAATGGATAAATAGTGCAGTTGCTCTCTTTCACAAATCTGTTTGTTATTAGAATCATATCTTCCTTTTTTTTACTGCTACATTTTTAGACTTTTTGGTTTTGTTTTCATTATCTTCTGGCTCATTTTTTAAATCCTAATTTTACTTAAATATTTTTCCTCAGTGACAATGTTTCCACAAGTTGATTTGAAAAGTTTGTGAATCACTCATCTTGGAGTTCATAGTTGTAACCTGAAATGACAGTGTAGATTTGGAATTAAGAGTACAAGATGTTTACAAGTTTAAACTCAGCTTGAGAGTTAGAAGACCTATGAGAAATTTCTACGCTGAAAAGTAAATCAATAGTAACTTTATCTAATTAAGTAACAAAGAACTAAATTGAGTCTTAGAAAATCTGAGTGTTCAGATTATAAACAACCTGGTTCATTGGGTAGAAGAATTGCCTTTGTGAACAGTGCCATGGTAGATGACTTGCTGACCTTTCCTTCCAATTCACTGAGTTCACAGCTATTGCTGTTATCTTTAAACTCACAAAGCTTCAAATGCCTTTCTATTACTGGGCAATATTTCATTTCTTCATGATAAGAAGTTGGAATAAAGCTGAGATCATGTACTAACCAAACATTTTTTCCTGCTATGTTCAGGAGATGAGACAAAGACGAAATTACAAGGGAAGCCTTACAAAGCAACACCTTAGATTTGGCAGTGAACTCTGAGCTCTGAAATCTTCAGACTTATATTTCAGAGGAGTGTTGCGCCCTTTCAAACATGAGACGAACATTATATGTCTTTTTGTAATGGAATGTTTAGATATATGAGTTGGATGAATAAGAGGAGAGCAACAACAAGCAGGGACAGCAGATTGTGACAGCAATGAATTGCAGTGAGTGTGACAGCTGTGACCTGGGGATGCTTTAGACATGAGGTGGCTTTCATCACCTGCCCATGGTTTCAAAGGCTCAGCTTGTTAGCAGTTTCACTACATCAATTTTTTTCACTCAGCAGAAAGATATATGAAAATATAAAGGGCATACCTCACATTAACAGCAACTTGAAATAATTCTACACGGTAAAAGTTAGAACAGAGCAGCACACCAGAGTAAAAAATTGCACTTTATCCATATAATATTACTAATACTTACAGAAAGAATTAAGAATAAAGCAGAAGAAACCAACACCTCCAGCTGAAAAAGTGATCAGTGGCACAGTATTTTTCCACTGCATATTAAATACATGAGACTAAATTTTGCTAATTCTCTAAATTTATCACAGTACTGGTTGCATTATACTTGATTATAAGGTTATGTCTTCCTGCTACACAATAGCAGAAATTTACTATTAGTTTATTTAACCAAGGTAGCTACTGACAGATTTTTTTTTTAAATATCCTGTTCTGACATGAGATTTCATTTTAATGTTCATTCACTTTTTGTTTTTTCATTGGCAATATGTGTGTGTTCCTCTTGGTGTAATTTAATGTTCGTATATTTTTCGCCTGTAATTGTTGCCCAAATGTCCAAATAATAGCCAAAGAAGAAATATGACACTGCCATACAAAAATGACAGAACAGAGTACATTTAAATGTCTCACATCAGAGTGGTGGTGAGCAAGTTCAGAGAGTGGACCTGAAGAAATGCGCTCTAAAAGGAAAATGAGCAAGTTCACTTCAGGGAGGGGATGGGCAGCAAAGGGACTG